GATGCATTAGTACTCTCTCTACCACTTGTTCCACTATGTTCCATGAGTCTTAATGACCCATTGCAGATGCATCACTTAGGGCTGGGCATTTCACATAGAATCTCTATATGTAACCAGTTGTGGAACTCTGTAATAGTCCCTGTCTAGTACAGAAGAAGCTTCTTTGATGAGTGGTGACTGGCATACCTGTCTGTAAATATAAGGATTCATATTAGTACATAGTAAGAAATTACATTTCTCTAGGGATGTGACAGCCTTGGGTTTTCTCTATGATCTATGACCTCTCCAGCCATGTGTATTTGATGTTTACAGTACCACACATGAGTTCCACTCATTGAGTGTGTTTTAAGTCCAATTAGGTAGCTGTTGATTATCCCCAATATAAAAGTGCCACTACTGCACCAGTATAGATTGCTGTGCTGGTCATTGTTGTGGTTTTTAGGCCTTGAAGATGGGGTTGGACCATGGATTGATGCTCTCCCTTAGCAGCTTGCATAGGGTTCTCCATAATAGTGCTAAGTACATACGCATTGTTGTGTGACCAGTCACCAGAATTCTTCATCTTGTAAAACTGGAACTCTGCCCATCAAACAACCACTGTCTGTACCCTCTTCCCAGCTCCTGACACTCCTGACGCTCACCTTCCTGATTCTATCTCGGTGAGTGTCTGCACTGGGGATGTCTTAGAAGCACACTCAGACTGCATTGGTCCTCCTTGCTGTCTTCATTCATTTAGCATGCCTTCAAGTTCCCTCCATGTCAAAGCATCTTGTTCTTCACAGCCTATTAGTTCATGGCTGGCAGCTGGGTTCTTAGAAAAATTGGCTTTTCTCAGTTTGTTTCTCATCAGGCCCATAGAAATTCCAGACTCCTGAACACAGAACTTCTGAGAGTTGGATTTATAATTCATCTGGTTTTCACAGTGGTTAAAGACCATATCATGATTCCAAGAGCCACCCCAGGGCTCTGCCACCTGCTGGTTGACTCATAGCATCCCCTTCGAGAACTAGAGGTGGTGCAGGGAAGACCGTGAGGCCCAGGAGTGATTGGAGACTTTGGATCTCTGGCAGATACAGGGTGTGTTGTTTGGGAGGTATCATGTATCTCCTGGGCTTTGCTGACTCAGCCCTGAGCTCAACAGTCAGCAGGTCAGTGTTCTTAAGTGGCAGTTCAGAAACAGACTTTCTGTCAGGCAAGGCCCTCTCGCCTGTTGGCCTGCTTCCTTTGTCCCAGTGTTGGTGTGGTGGATAGTACTGAAAGTCGCTTTAGCATGTTATTGAAATAAGACATATGTGGTGCTGGTGTTGTATTGTTTCTGCTAACAGAAGCCCATGTGTCTTTCACATATGGTTAGTCTGATTGCTTTTTCTAGCCTGGGACTTTGCTTTGGAGAGATGCCTAACAAAAGGACATCCATAGCCTTTTTCCATGGGGAAGGATAGCTAAGATTAGTTCAGTGTAGGAAAAGCAGGAGAGGCCAACTGGAAGGTGAGGAAGGAACCTGGCTGATGCTCCAGAAGCTGGATGTGGTCCTGTGCTGATCACTAGCTAGCCATCAGGTGCTTAAAGTCCTTTCTCCTCTCAGGAATGCTCACTTGTGGAAAGGCAAAGTGATTTCTGTCCTGCCCAACATAGAGAATGGAGGGCGGGTGTTGGTGATTAGGTTTAGTAATTGGACATTTGCTATTCCAGTGTTCACCAATGTGGGAACCAAGGTAAGGTGATTAGAACCATTAGCCTTGTGGACTATTCAGAAGTCACTGACCTTACAGGACAGGGTGCAGGAATCAGCCTCTCTTACCATGTGTATGTATACCACTGCTGCCCTCCACTTTTGATTCACACAGAAAGGGAGAAGGGTGCAGCGCCTCCCACAAACATTACAACCACTTTTTTCTTTGAATCATGGTAATTAATATACATTTTAAAGTAATTTCATTTGGATGTGTTTTTAACTAACTTTGAGCCCTAAAGGTCAATCAGCCATGGAGTTTTTGTGCCTTGCCAGCCTGTAGCTGATGCTAGAGCCAGCAGCCTTTCTAATGTTTCTTGCCTCTTTAGATGTAGCTGGAGGAGAGTATGGCAGTAAGTTCTTAGAGGTCATAGATAGGAGTTTTATTAGTTTTTTTTCTTCCCACTCTCTTGCAGCACCAAGCACGGTTCTCAATAGGAACTTGATAAATCCTCAAATCCCTTACCAGTTAGATGATGTCATTTCAAGGGACCATCTAAAAGAAGCTTGTGAAACATCGGGGCTGAGGAGCTCAAAAGCTTTGCAGTAGCCTGGCAGGAATGGGCTTACCTAACTGCACTGGAAAGACACGCACACACAATAGGAATCCATCAGTTATAATGGGGGTTAGAACAGGCAGTCTGCCAGGCCAGGCCTCCCTCCACCACCCGAGGACAGACCAGAGGGATAACAGAGCAGTGTGACCGTAGAATAATGATCAGTGACTTAAGTATGTTAAAAGGGTGCTGTAGAAACCTGTAGGTAGATTTCTATCACACAGAGAATTCCCCTTATCTAAACCACTGGGCTTATCCACCCTCAGCTCCCCACATTTGCTCCATCCCTGGTGTCTACTCAGTTTTCAGCCAAATCAAGGTCAGGATAAAGAGGAGATTTGGATGGCAGTAAGCTGGATATTCAGGCTTCTGCAGTAATACTCAATTATTGAATTCTCCAAAAGCAATGAGCTCCTCTATATAATGAAGTCCTCAGTTTTTAAGTATCTTTATAAATCAGGCGATTTGGTATTGGCAACAGCCAGCTTGCTGTTTCCATCTTTGTTGCAAAGATAAGATGGCAAAGCTCTGGGAACTTGCTGGGGTTGCTAAAGACCATCTTGATTAAATATTTTAACTCACATTGTTCTGACTTGGAGCCTTAAAGGCCCCCCAAATGGCATAGGACGGGAACCACATGGAAGAGAAGTCAGCTTGCCATCACTGTCCTGCAGCACCAAGCCCCACAGCTGGGCCTGCTGCTGTCCCTGTGTTCTTCCTCAGATCTACAGATTCCATCCCAGACCTCCACAGCAGAGCGAATATATTGCAGCAAAGTAATTCACACAATTTTTTGGTTTCCCAACACATATAAAAGTTATATTTAACATTGTACTATATGCAGTCCATTATGTGTGTTACGGTAGCCCTACATATGTTGTATAAACTGCAATTTAAAACTACTGCTAAAGAATGAGAGTGATCATCTGAACTGTCGGGACAATGGTGCTGATACAGTTGCTCAACACGAGGTTGTCAGAAACCTTTGATTCATTAAAAAAAAAACAAAACTTGGAATGTGCACTAGGCATATTAAAGTGAAGTTCAGTAAAACAAGATGCCTGTGTGTTTCCAGCACATTTGACATTATCTTGCTATTTAATAGCTGTCATTTTTCCCTCCTTCCTAACTCCTCCTCAATCATGTACTGTGTTCCTACCTACAGCAGTGTTTGTGTCTCTGATAATGAAATTCTGACAGGCAGAATGTCATTGGTATCTCCCTTCCTTGTTAACAGTGTTTCTGTCTTTCACGACCAGATCCCAGTTGACTACTGAAACATTCTTGTATTCGTGTGTGTGTGTGTCTACTGGACTTAAACGGATGTGGTTCTTGGGCAATTTTAATTTTTTAATGGTAAATATCTTTGATCCTGTGTTAACCAACATCACCTGCCATATACTTTTTTAGTAAGAGTAATTTGAACTCCCTCTTGGGTTAGATGTGCTAAGATTCTGAATCTCACATCACCCTTAAGTCAGTCCTTGAGGGAATAACTTACTTTCTACTGTAAGATGTTTTACTAAGGTGGCTGTAAAGTTTTGCACTGTCCTAGGACAATGGAAATGCTGGTCTATAAATGTGGGAAGTGTCTTTGATACACTGACCTTGCTCAATTCTTCCTCCTCCTGTTACTAGACTGTGGGTGGTAACATATCTGCAGAGTAGTTTTATGGGTGGGGTATGCACTGCAACGATTTTAAGCCAAGAAATAAAAAACGGCATGCAAAACAACAGACTGGGGGAGGGAGGGTGTGGATCAAGGTCACATCTGTGTAGAGCAAATTTGGTGGTAGAGAAGGCAAGCAAGGCAAGGTTGCATGTGTAACAGGAAGTGGTAATATCATGGTCACAAGATGCAGGTGGGACTTGTTTGCCACATATTTTGATGAACTCATGAACAGGTTAGCAAGCATCCTGTTCTTACAATGTCACTGAAGCACATGTATTTGTCATTTTTCTGTAGATTATTTTGATGGCCAGCTATGACCCCTGGCCAAGGTAGTAACCAGAATAACTTATGCAGATGGTTTTCTGTGGAGAATAGGAAGCCCATTTTTTATTTAATTTTTAAATTTTATTGAGTTTTTTAAAAATTATATTTATTATTTTTATTTTATGTGTATTCGTGTATTGCCTGCATGTAGATAAGTGCACCCATGTCGTGCAATGCCCACCGAGGTCAGAAGAGGCTGTCAGATCCCCTGGGATGGGAGTTACGGACAGTTGTTAGCTGCCATGTGGGTGCTGGGATTCGAACCTGGGTCTTCTGCAGGAACAACCAGTGTTCTTAACCACTGGGCTATCTCTCCAGCCCCCTTATTGATTATTTTTATTTTTTCATGTGAATGAGCATGCTGTCTACATGTGTATAAGTGCATCCATGTTGTGCAATGCCCATGGAGGTCAGAAGAGGGTATCAGATTTCCTGGAACTGGAGTTACAGATGGCTGTTAGCTACCATATGGATGCTGAGAATTGAACCCAGGTCCCCTGCAAGAGCAGCCAGTGCTCCTAACTGCTGGGCCACCTCTCCAGCCCCAGGAAACCTGTTTTTAAGAAGAAAAACCTGATAGTTTTGAAAGCTGTATTTCCAGAGGGTGTGACAAGCCCAGGGGACTGTTTCAAGGCCACCTCGTGTGCAGTTTGGAGACTGCTGCAGTGAGTAGAACCCAGTCTCAAGCCTCATGTGCTTTTGTGTTCTCTTCCAGCACATCAGGTCCACCCATCTGGTCGGGCAGTACCTTCTTCAAGAGAAACGGAGCCCTTCTGCAAGGTAGGTGTCTAGGAGCGCCTCTTCCTGTTCCCATATCCTTCCTTCCTACTTTGTGCGTGGTGCCAGCCAGGAGGGCTCCCTTCTGGTTAGCAGTGGTTGCTCTCAGGAGAAGTGGAACTGTTGTGGCCTGGGTCTGAATGCCTATTTCTCTTATTTCTTCCTGTTCAAATATCTTGGCTGCAGTGAATTGTGAATTTGAAACCAGGTCTCTGTCCCAGAACAGTGGCTTTGGTGGAATGGAACCATGTAGCAGTTGTGATGAGATAGTAGCATATATCAGAGTGATAAATGCAAACTCTTATGTATTTATTTCTAATACCTGGGATGATCAAGGCTGGTTTAGGTGTTTTGACACTTGTCATCATGGAGATACATTTGTTCCTTGCTGTCTCCTAATACCTGTGTGTACCTGGAAGGTTAGCTGTGGTTTGTTCTTATGCTCCCAGGACAGTCCTGCTCACTTGTCCCAAGGGTCCTTTGCTGGGGACACTGTTCCTGGTGTCCTGCCCATCCTCAGCTGCTGGTGCTAGTTCCTATCAAGGCATTCAAACTGCCTGTCACCTCTGCTAAATTTGTTTGCAATGCCAATAAAAGAATAAATGGTTTAAAGTGAAACAGATGTATGCCCAGTTCTGTTAGAAGTTGCTTTTGGGCTACAGCTGTTTTGATTATCTGCTCTGTAGGGTAAACTGGCCCTCCATTGTCTTTAGTGTTCTGCCCTGTAGCCCCTGTTGATTAGCCAGGAGTTGGTGGGAAGGGTTCTGGGGAAGCACAGCTACTCAGAGCAGATGAACTGGGTTGTACCAAGAGCTTTAGGACTCTACTGGTGTATGATGAGGCTTGTGGTACCTTTTGGTCAGCTGTTTAGCCTGTCTTATAAAAGGATGCACCGAGACCAGCCGTGCATATGAAGAAGTGACATAGTCTCATGGTTAAGAAGATGTGTGTATCTCCGGGTTTATGGATTAGCTCAAAAAAACTGTTGTGAGACACCACCATGTTGCTGTTGTTCTGTAGGACCTATGATTGAGTGTTGTGTTTTTAAATAATCCATGAAACTAGGAACTGAAGAATTTCTTTGCATTTTTCCTGGTACAAGTGAAGTTTGGTTAATCTGACTTTCAATAGCCATCATAGGTAATCCCTACATGTCTAAGAAAAGAGATGGAATCAATATGTAGCCAACTCAAACTCTGCTCTCCCCTAGGTTGTTTAAGCAGAAGCTAGTGATGGTCACCCTTTGGATTTTTCTCAAGTAAAGTTCAGAGTTATTTGTACCTCTATGTTTCCTCTGAAACTATAGCAGTAATGTGGCTATCATTCATGTTTGAATTATTTTTAGAATTGGGGTTTTGTTTTCTTAGAGCTTTTTCTTACGGGATTCATATCTGTTTGGTTCCACATTAGGTAAGATTACTCGACGCATATCAGGTTTTTTGTTTGTACCTATGAGTTAGAAACAAGAGAAGTACCAATGAAGTCTGTTGAGTGAGGACTGTGGTGGTTCTTTTTCATGGACAGATACATCTTGTTTGTTCTTTCATGATCTAAAAACTTTCCTGATTTCTCTGTACACTGGGAATTAAACTAGTACATGTTTCAAATGTGCTTTTGATCTATATTCAATTAAGTTAAAGATATATACG